ACACCTCTCAACCACAAGATCGGAAAGCCACAAATCTTGATCATCTCAACAACAGGATTAGTGTTTCCAGGACATTATGGGGATAATCCTCTGCTATCTAAAGGAAGCAGATTCTATCTGGGAGTCAGAAAAGATGAAATAACGTTAGTCACGGAGAACTGTGAACACTCAGGCAAAGTGGAGTTTGAAGCTGCTTGTGGGGGAGCTTGAAAATTTCTAAGCCTGAACTTTGCAAAGTGAAGCAACTGACCAGCTCTGAAAAAAGGACCTTGCTTTTCCTTGCCAGGAATGGATGGATAGAAACATTTCCAGGAAAAAGAGTTGGCTGTTGAAACAAAGAGCTGTGGTGGCACAGTGGTTAGAATGCAGTATTGCAGGCTAATTATGCCCGTTGCCAGCAGTTCGATTCTAATCGGCTCAAGGTTGACTCAGCTTTCCATCCTTACAAGGTTGGTAAAATGAGGAGCCAGACTGTTGGGAGCAAGCGGCTGACTCTGTAAACTGGTTTGAGAGGGCTTACTGTGAAGCGGTATATATGTCTAAGTGCTATGGCTATTTTCCTTCCTTCCTTCCTTCCTTCCTTTCCTTCCTCCCTCCCCTCCCCTTCCCCATCCATCCATCCCAGCTCAAGGTTGACTCAGCCTTCCATCTTGTGAGGTTGGTAAAATGAGGACCCAGAATGTTGGGGGTGATATGCTGACTCTGTAAACCATCATAAGGGCTGTAAAAGCACTGTAAAGCGGTATATAGGTCAAAGTGCTATTGCTACTGCCCTTCCTTCTTTCCTTCCTTCCTTCCTTCCTTCCTTCCTTCCTTCCTTCCTTCCTTCCTTCTTTCCCTCCCAGTGGTTAAAATGCAGTATTGCACACTAACTCTGCCCACTGCCAGCAGTTCGATTCTAACCAGCTCAAGCTTGACTCAGCCTTCCATCCTTCTGAGGTGGGTAAAATGAAGATCTAGATTGTTGGAGGGGCAAGAGGCTGACTCTGTAAACCACTTAGAGAGGGGCTGTCAAGCACTGTGAAGTGGTATATAAGTCTAAGTGCTATGGCTATTGCTATGGGAAGAGTTTGTTTGCCAATCAGGAGGTGATGGATGAAGAAACAAGAAGGAGAGCCAGGTTCAGAGTCAGCTTTAATTTAGAGAAAGATGTTTATTTTTAGATCCAGGGTCCCCAGCAAGCAAAGGCCTGTTGTCTTAGGCTTTTGTGGGTGTATATTCTCCTTTAAGGGACAAGGTGGCTCAGTGGCTAAAACACTGAGCTTGTCGATCAGGAAGGTCGGCAGTTCGGCGGTTAGAATCCCTAGCGCCGTATCACGGAGTGAGCTCCTGTTACTTGTCCCAGCAGCTTCTGCCAACCTAGCAGTTCGAAAAAAAATGTTAAAAATGCAAGTAGAAAAACAGGGACCCCTTTGATGGGAAGGGAAGAGCGTGCTGTGTGTCTTCGGCATTTAGTCATGCCGGCCACATGATCGTGGAGACGTCTTTGGACAGCGCTGGCTCTTCTTTGGCTTTGAAACGGAGATGAGCACTGGCCCCTACAGCCGTAAACTCCTAGCGCGTATGCAGGAGGGGAACCTTTACCTTCACTTACTCTCCTTTAGGCTGGAAAGAAGCGTTAAATGGGGGTCTTGGTGCGCTTCACTCTTGTATTTTGAGGGCTACTCCCTCAAGGACAACTAACACAGTGATAAGGACCGTAGCAGCCCCAAATCAGAAAGGAGCATTCAAAGGAATGTCTTGCTTTTAAAAAGGAAAGCAAAGAGGCATGTTTGTTGGGGGGAAAACAACAACTCCTACTACCAAGCAACCAAGATTAAAGAACGGGGATGAGAGCAAAGTGCGAAGCGCAGAATTACAAGGTTGGACTCATTAAATAGATGTTTTTCCCCCTTAGGCCTGATTCACTGCAAGGGGAGAGAGAAGTGGTTTTGTTTCTCTTTTATTTACATCCACTTCACTTGCTCTGTATCAACTTTTTCTTAACATCTCAAGTCCTTTCCACTCTCTTTATGGAAAACAGATTCTTTCTTTCTTTCTTTCTTTCTTTCTTTCTTTCTTTCTTTCTTTCTTTCTTTCTTTCTTTCTTTCTTTCTTTCTTTCTTTCTTTCTTTCCTTCTCCCTTCCTCTTTCCCTTCTTACTTCTCCATCTCTTGCTTCCTTCCTCCCCTTTCTTTCTTCCCCTTCCTTCCCTTTTTTTGCCCTCTTTTCCTCTTCCTTATTTCTCTATCCTTCCTTTCCTTTTTCTCTTTCCCTCCCATACCCTCCCACACCCTCCTTCCTCCTTCCCTCCCTCACCTTCCTCCTTCCTTCTCTTTCTCCCCTTCCTCCCCTCTCTTTTCCTTCCTCATTTCCCTATCCTTCCTTTCCTTCCTTCCTTCCTTCCTTCCTTCCTTCCTTCCTTCCTTCCTTCCTTCCTTCCTTCCTTCTTTCCTCCCTCCCAGTGGTGGGATTCAATTTTTTTTAACTACTGGTTCTGTGGGCGTGGCTTGGTGGGCATGGCATGGAAAGGATACTGCAAAATCCCCATTCCCTCCCCACCCCACCCCACTAACCTGCTTTCCAGCTTCGTTCTCCTGTGCAGGGCAACCAAAGAAGACCCAGCCAATCAGCTGAGACTCAGGAGGCGGAGAATAGAAGGGGCGGGGCCAGTCAGAGGTGGGATTTGCCGGCTCTCTGAACTACTCAACATTTCCGCTACCGATTCTCCAGAACTGGTGAGAACCTGCTGAAATACCACCTCTGCACCCTCCCCTTCCTCCTCTTTCTTCCTTCCCTCCCTTCCCTCTCTTTTTCTTCCTCATTTCCCTTCCCTCCCTCCCTCCCTTCCTGTATTATTATGGCTTGTTTTATTATGGCTTATTGGATCCAGAGACCCTGTGGCTCAAACGTCCTCCCATTTACCCCCTCCCCTCCCATTTCAATGGCCCACAAATCTTGGTGGTTACTTGCTTATTTTTCTATTGATCTCATTTTGCTTGTCTTGTTTTCCTAAAAGACCTTTATCAGGACACGGATCGCTAAATTCAACACGGCAGCCTTTGTCCATCTATCTGTACTACATGTAGCTGTCTAAGTTAACACTCCTTAAAACATGCTTTGGGGCATTCCGGCAAATCGTAGTTGCAATGACATTTAACACTTTTTCCAATGTGATGCTTAGGAAAGAAAAAAAAAATCAAAGGAGTGATTATGAAAGGCTTTTTCCTTCTCCAGATTGGATCATATCTTTATCTGTTTGTCCAATACGGAGCAAAGCCTATTTGCAAAATCTGACAAAGCATCTCCGAAACAAATTGTTTATCAGAATTAAACATCGGAGAGCAAGTTGTTTTTTGTTTTATCCTTAGCCAAATCTGACAGGCATTCATGGTAAGAAGAACTTAATCCTGATGCCGGTGAAAAAGCTGGCTTATAACAGGTTGGCGGGAAGAAAAATCCAATTTGCGGATTGGAAAATATAGGTTTTGTTCTTTTTTAAAAGATTTCATTTCCTGATTCATCTATTCTCTTCTAGCTGGACAAGTGTCTGCTTCAGTGCTGCAGTTTCAGCTTTGCCCAAATAGCAATAGCCTTTAGACTTATATACAACTTTACGGTACTTTACGGCCCTCTCTAAGCAGTTTACAGAGTCAGCCTAATGCACCCAACAATCTGGGTCCTCATTTTACCCACCTCGGAAGGATGGAAGGCTGAGTCAACCTTGAGCCTGGTGAGATTTGAACTACCAAATTGCAGGCAGCCGGCAGTCAGCAGAAGTAGCCGGCAGTACTGCACTCTAACCACTGTGCCACCGATGCTCGTTTTTGAAATATTTGATATTTGAAATATGTCACTGAACTGTGGCAAATGTCCCTGTAGAACCGCAACAACCCAGAACAACAGAAATTGGGGTTTCTGTGGTACCACAGAAATATCACAGGGGCAGTATCAGCTTTCATAGGGGAGTTTTCCTATATTTTCCTTCCAGGACACAAACACATTAAATCAAGCGAAAGATAAGTCTCCTAAATTTGAATTTGGGAACTGGGATATGATATCAATATGCGAGGTGCTCTCTGAGCCTGGTTGTTTTCTTGCAGACGTTTCATTACCCAACTAGATAACATCATCAGTGCTAGAAGGGAGTAGGGTTTGTGGAGAGGAGGAGGAGGATAGAGAAGGGGAGGAAAAGGAGGAGGAAGATTGTGTGCTCTCTGAGCTTGGTTGCTTTCTTGCAGACATTTCATTACCCAACTAGATAACATCATCAGTGCTAGAAGGAAATGGGATTTGCCCTATATTTATATACTAGTGGTTGGAAGCAGCACGAACATGTTCACCAACACTGAAGGACAAGCTGCTTGTACAGATAGAATATAATTCTTTCTTGGCCAAGTGTGATTGGACATAGAAGGAATTTATCTTGGTGCAAATGCTCTCAGAATAGAATAGAATAGAATAGAATAGAATAGAATAGAATAGAATAG